TTTATATGACTTATTAATAATTCATTTATCAAATCAACTTTTGTTGATTATTTTCTTTAATTTTTTATCATTTAAAAAATAAACATTATATATTCAACAAAAAATTTAACATATTTTTTAACAATATATTTTTATTAATTAATACTTACTAAATTAAATATTATAAAAACTTAAACCATAAATTAGTTCAAATATATATGTCGCATCGGTAGACATATCTACGAAGCTTCCTACACATTTGGTGTAACTTTCAAAAGAAGACTCTGTTTAGACTTTTTGTTTAAAAAAAAAAAAATTATTGCACTTTTTTTTTTCATTTAAAATTATCTTTACGGTTTGAAAGTGACGTTTTTATTAAAACTCGTTGAAATTTAAAATAATAAATAAAGTAATTAATTTATCACATTTTAAAATAGATCATAATGTATGTTTTTTGAATTACATTTATCACACTAATGCAACAAAGCATCAACAATAAACTAGGTGAAATGACATGTCATTCCATATAACTAGTGACACAAATCACAAATCACATATTAAAATATCGAGAATCTAATATTCACAAAATCAATGACACGTGATTTATGTCATGAACAATCGACTGAAAACATAATTCAACGATTCATCTCATAAAATATAAAAATAACTTGTTGAACATCTAATTCTACCTCTGCCCAATTCTACCAATCTCTTTCAATTAACTCAAAATCTCCATTAACCCAATCCCTTCGGCCTCTCTATGACTATAACTACCCACTCATACTGATTATCGTCATAAAACTTTCATTATAATCCTTGATCACTCACCCAAACCTATTTTCTTCCTTATATTCATTTTTTAAAAACTGTTTTCCCTCTAAACTTTTTCATCATGATGCGATTTACATTTATTGGATGCACATATATTAGTTGACCTCACCACTAATTAAAAATAAATTTAGTTATCAATCAAACATTACGTCATGATGAGAGGTTTAGGCAAAATTTAGGAGTATGTAGAATTGCTCTTTAAAAAATGTATATAGGAAAACATTTTATTAAATAATTATTAAAGTCAGGAAATAAACCACAGGAGCAATGTTTAAAAGATTTTTTTTTTTTTTAAAACCCCAATTATCACGTTTTTCAATCGTTTCGATTGTTATAACACTAATTATTAGTATTGTTTTAAACCTTATTCTCGAATGAAGATTATTTAAATATATAATCATTAGTGTAAGTATAATTAAATTTATGTGTCTTTTTTGGGGTCGAAAAGATTCATTTACAAACAAAAAATATTGATGGTTAAAAAGAAAAAGTTGGAAAAGGAGTAAATGACCCGGTGTGCACGGAGACTGAAGAGGTCAACGTGATGTAAACAAGCATGAGAAAAGGAGAAAATCCGACGTGGCACAATGAGATGCACGAGTCTCCCTGAAGTGGAATCGGGTTTTAGAAGCCGTTTGAGCCCTGCAAAATTATTTCTAATTGTAATAAGTTATTATTTTACTAGATTTTTATTTAATTAATTATATTTAGTATTTAATGAATTTATAAGCAATTAGTAAATATATAAAGTTTTATTATTCATACGAGGGAAAATGGCACTTTTTCCCCCTGTGTTATATACTTATAGCACTTTTTCTCCCTATATTATTTAAGTGGCAATTTTCCCCCCTGATATATTAAATGGACATATTTACCCTTAAAATAAATATTTCCTTTATTTTACTTCTCCAACAAATTATAACCACAATTTGAAAAAATAAAATACATTAATTGTTGAATTTAGAATACTTTAAAAATAAAAAAAAAATTTTAAAATAATGTTTGAACCAACAGTTCAAATTGGATCCGAAATTGTGAAACAACGATTCAAAATAAAAACCAAATCGCGATTATATATACTTATATGTGAGAGTCAATATAAATGCGAAAAAAACATACACTATTTGCAAATATTATAATTCTAATTTTAAGCTATTGCTAGTAGTTGTTCTGATTTGAACCTCTGGTTCACGGTTCAGAATCTATTTTTTTCCACTTCACAATTTTAATAAACGGAAACCCAAATATTGGGTTATGTTATGAATCATAACCGAATTTTTTTTTATTTGATTGCTATAGTGTTCGGTTCAGTTCGAACCGAACCGTGGCCATCCCTACGTATAAACAATAATTTGTTGAACAAGAGAAATAAATAAAATATGTATTTAAGAGTAAAAATGTCTATTTAATATTATCAGGGGGAAAAACCGCCACTTTTATAATAATTGAGGGGGCAAATGTGGATGCATGAATAACTCAGGGGGAAAAAGTGCTATAAGCATATAACATAGGGGGAAAAAGTGTCATTTTCCCTTCATACGAAATAAATATTTTAGAGGAAAAATAGCGTATTTGGTAGGTTATAAAGTCAAGAGAAGAGGAGCAAAAGTGGCGGGCGAATTGGGGCGGTGAATAGTTGGAACGCGTCTATCTCCATTCCCCTCTCTGTCAATGTCTATTTGGACCCTTTTCCCCACTAGTCCTCCCATTTGCTACTTTGGCCCCCCTACTTTGACACCTCACCCACTAATTTTACTCCTATACTAACCATTGCTTCCTATTAGTTTATTTAAAAAATTGACAAGCATGCCTTATTCATTGGGATAGAAATTTTAGAGCAATTCAATGCTTTGAAAAACTTGGCTTTGGTCCATGATGATATAATTTGCGGTAAGTTGTTGATGAAACTAAACTAGGATTATTTGAAAGCTAGCTTATGGTTAACAAGGGATTAATTGTAGACTAAGGGACTCAACAACAATAATTCAAGAATGACGGATAGACATAATGTTTATTGTCTTTAAGCAAATAGTGAAGACTGTGTCCAAGTTATAGAGACAAAGTTTTCATTTGTCGGTTATTATACAATCTTAAAATTATTATGATTAGCTTATTATGATCTAAGTAGTTGCCTTACATAAAGCTCCTAATATGATTTTTTTTTTCTTTTTTTTTTTTCTTTCTCCAAATAGGATACCCCATCACATTAGGCCATTAATTGCCTATTACGTCAATTCACCACTCAAGCCCAAGACACATGTCTCAAAAAAGTAATAATTTTTTATCTCATGTCAAATTTTCTAGTTAACTTAACAAGCTTTTTCCTAATTATTTTTTTTTTTTAAATTTTACACATACAACGTAAATGTTACGGGTGAATTTGGATAGTTGTTGTAAACTTATGGATAAGATTAGTACAAGTGGAATACATGGAGACAAATATGAATGGAGTAAAAAGGTTAAACAACTAAACTACAAAGAGTAGTTGAAATGATTAAGGAAAAAGGTTATCACTTGTCATGCACCTTAATATGATGAAATTCTAATCATCTTTATTTGATTTTTTTTTTTCAACACTAAAAGATGCATTTTTCTATTATTTTCTTAGAAAACATTCTTTGGTAATAGAAAAGCATGCCAATAGCACAATGGAATATATATGTATATTAAATGGACGTAAGTGAAAAAAGAGAATGGAAGCTAACGTCCCAAGTGTAATTTGTATAACAAAAATGGGTTCAAATGGTATTAGCCTAAATCTAAAGGGTATAAGTGAAATTATCCCATAATAACTAATATGGAGAAGTGTCAAATAGGCCCATGTACTATTGTCAAGTGCTCAATTCCCACCATGAACTAAATTAAACGCTAATTAACTACACTTACCTACTAAATTTGTTCAATTAGCTTTTTTTGCAGGTAATTGACTTGTTTTTGCAGGTTACCAATTTAGTTATTAAAAAAATAATTTCAAAATAATATAAAAATTATTAAAAAAATAATTAAAAAAAAATACAGCCACCGGCTGTCCTTGCTAGACAGCCACAGCTGTCTTTGAAATGGCAGCCACCGGCTGTCCGGCGAGGACAGCCAGTGGCTGTATTCTTTTTTATTTTTATTTTTATATTTTATTTTATTTTATTTTATTTATTTATTTTAATAATTAAATAGGTAACCTGTTATTAACCTGTAAAAAAAGTTAATTGAACAAATTTAACTCGTAGATGGACCTATTTGACACTTAATTTAGTTCGTGGTGGAAATTGAGCACTTCGCAGTAGTAGATGGGCTTATTTGACACTTGTGCCTAACTAATATGATTAAATTTAGAGTTAATTCCATTTTTAGTTCTATATTTATAGGTGTCTGTCTACTTTTAATACTTATTTTTTTAAATATTTACTTTTGATTCTAATATTATTGTGAGATGACTATTTTTGGTCTTCCGTCAACAAAATTGTTGAAATATCGTTAAATACAATGACATTTTTATCTTTATATATATATATATATATATATATATATATATATATATATATACAAAGCGGGTTGACCCACTGTATTTTTATTTGTATGTTTTAAAAAAAAAAATTATTTTTGAAGACCTAAATACAATTATATTTTACATAATTTTAATGATTTTGTTGACTGAAGACTAAAAATGATCATGTCACAAAAAAAGGATTAAAAGTGAATTGTTACCTATAAATCTAGAACCAAAAATAGAATTAATTTGTTAAATTTACAATAAAGAATATAAGACATTAGATCTACCTTCCCTGGCCATTAAATTTGTAAAATTCCACGAAAATAGAAATTGATAATGACTACAATTAAACTTTAATTTATACGCGTAAGCTCCATTTAGAAATTTCCTATATTAATCATCATTACATTATTATTATTATTAAACAATTAAAAATTGGCCTTTTTCAATAACTTTTTACGTTCACCAATAATTTTTTTTATTAATAGATTTAAAAAAAAAAAGGACTTAAAGACATAATTAGAAGTAAAATGAAAGATAGAAAAGAGTAAAAGAGTAAAGGGGGATCACACTTTTCTCATAAATTCCAAGATAAATCCCATCAATTTCTCTTCTAGAAAGCGTAAGTCCTCTTGTATGTACAATAGTCAGTTGCCTCTATTGTGTGTGTGTATTTGGTCTTCCATCTTTAGTCTTAACCTCCCTTTTTTATTGCCGAGTCCACAGCTGCATTCAAAGCATTCTCACTTCCCACACTACTCTCGATCTCCTCTTCTCTCTCTCTTTCTCTCTTCTTCATCTCTTCCATCCATCTTCATATATGGCCTCACGCAGTGGACTCTCCTTTGATCCAGATCCCATCACCCTGCACCCCCGCCACCGCTCCAAACCCCCTTCTTCTCAACCCACCCAAAACCACCGCCACCACTTCATAAAGCTCGAACCTTTTCTCTCCCCCTCATCCATGGAGTCTCCGGTCAACAACAGGTCGCCTCCCCCCACTATCCAATTCCCGGTCAACCTCAACTGCTCCGACCATCGGGCTCGCCATGCCCAAGAACACCAGGATCATAAAACAACCGTCTTAGGTGAGATGGACTTCTTTGCATATACCAAGGATAATGGAGATTCCAGGGCCTCCGCCGTTGACGACGACGTTAAAGATTTGCGCACGTCCACTGAATTGGATTTCACTATTAACGTAAGACACCGGAAAGAATCGGTTTTTTTTTTTTTTTTTTTTTTTTGGTCCTCACTCTTGTCTGTGGGTTTCATGAGTTTTTTATTACTTCTGATCAAAATTTGATTTTTTTTTTCTATACAGACTTTTTCAACTTTCTTTAAAATTAAATGAATAAATTCTTGAATTTTCAGACCGGTTTGCATCTTCTCACGGCGAACACCAGCAGTGATCAGTCGATAGTGGAGGATGAGTTGTCACCGAATTCAGAAGACAAAAGAGCTAAAAGCGAGGTAAATTATTAAATCCTCAGATGGTTGATTGATAGCAGCATTAATTGCCCTTTCTATGATAAATCATCATTCAATGAATATAAATGATTAATGATATAATAATAATGTTTCAGCTGGCGGTTGTGCAAGCTGAACTGGAGAGGATGAACGGCGAGAATCGACGGTTGAGAGACACGTTGAATCAGGTCAACAACAATTACACTTCTCTCCAGATGCATTTGATGACGTTAATGCAACAACAACAAAGCAATGGGAAAATGGAGGAGTCTAAGCAGACGCGTCACAATAATAATGGAGGCCAAATGGTGCCCAGACAATTCATGGATCTCGGTCTTGCTCCTGGAGGAGGAGGAGGAGGAGGAGGACCCACGGAGCCCGATGAGGCGTCGCTGTCGTCGTCGGAGGGGCGGAGCGGCCGGGAACGGTCGCAGTCGCCGACGAACAATATAGACGAGGCATCCAGAGAGGACAGCCCGGAAAAAGGGTCCGGTTGGGGATCTAATAAGGTGGCTAGATCTGGAAATGCTTCAAAAGGCGGTAGCGTTGATCAAGCCACCGAGGCCACCATGCGAAAGGCTCGTGTCTCCGTTCGAGCTCGATCAGAGGCTCCCATGGTAATAATAATATATATCAACCTCATCGATCTCATTCATAATATCAACAATAATACTACTCCGATCCGTACTATTTAAGTTAAATCTGATCTTTTTTTCATATGTTCAATAATTCTGTCGTTCTTTTTCTGCAGATTACAGATGGTTGTCAATGGAGGAAATATGGCCAGAAAATGGCGAAGGGGAACCCGTGTCCTAGAGCTTATTACCGGTGCACCATGGCCGCTGGTTGCCCAGTTCGAAAACAAGTATGCTTTCCATAATCTCTTTACCAACTCCCAGTGTCAAGATCATGATACTATTTACTGTCTTCACCCACTTTTGTCATATAGAGAATTAGTCAATGATTCTAGAAACAGAATTAACATGTTCTAGCTAGTACCAGCAACATAACTCAATTGATTCCTGAATAATAAATTATAGGTAAGAACATAAAATTTAAATAGTGTAGGATTAAACCTAATGCGGCGTAAGCAATAGACATTATATATATTGATACTCCCATTTAGTGACCTGCTAATTCAGATCCTAACAGTAGGAGACATCTTTAAACTTATACTATACTCAGATTAATGACCCCCTAATTAAGAGGCAAAGTGTTGGGTATACCCCTAATTAAGGGACAAAGTGTTAACTAGATTGATTTTTCTATAAAAACAAGAAGGGGTTCGAACTCTCTTAATTTTATAAACTGGTTATAATAAATTAATAATTTATATATTAAACAATAATAGATGGAGAATTAAACAAAGAGGTTCACTTTATCTTATTATATATATTTATGTTGGTGCATTGACAGGTTCAAAGATGCGCAGAGGATAGAACAATCTTGATCACAACTTATGAAGGAAACCACAACCACCCACTGCCGCCGGCAGCCATGGCAATGGCATCGACGACCTCGTCGGCGGCGAAGATGCTGCTGTCGGGATCCATGCCGAGTGCGGATGGGCTGATGAACTCAAATTTCCTAGCGAGAACCCTCCTTCCTTGCTCTTCAAGCATGGCCACCATCTCAGCTTCCGCTCCATTCCCCACTGTTACATTGGATCTTACCCAAAACCAAAACCCAAACCAAACCCAATTCCCCAGACCCCCAAACCCCTTCCAATTCCCATTCCCAAACCCTTCCCAGAATACCGCCGCCGCACTTTTGCCTCAGATTTTCGGGCAGGCGTTGTATAACCAATCCAAATTCTCCGGCCTTCAATTGTCTCAGGACTTGGAAAACAACATCCACGCTCCTTCCTCAATGCCGCCGCACCAGTCCTCTCCGCAGAACCCGCTGGCGGACACCGTCAACGCCCTCGCCAGCGATCCCAACTTCACGGCGGCGCTGGCGGCCGCCATTACTTCCCTCATCGGAAACCCGTCCCATTCCGGCAACGTTACTAACACCTCCAACGCCAATAATAACGGCAGCGTTATTACCAGCAGCAATGGCAATGACAAAGTCAACAGTTGAAATTCGCAGCGGCTCCAAACCCAAACTGCTATACATATTCATTATATACACATATATAATCCCTTCTTGCTCTTGATAATGTTTTTTCCTTGTCATATACTCCGTATTTGATTTAGTCAAATTTCGGTTTTGTTTACTTTTTAAGTGTTGTTATGGGCTTTTGGGACTATACCTTTTGGTTTATATTTTTAATTCTTTTCTTGGTTTAATAATGTAATTAAATCTTATGTGGTTTGGTAAATTTGAGGATGATATGGCTATACACATACTTGTTAGTTTACAATTTACTATTGTTTTTTAAATGTTATACATATTTATTAATACGTATGCCAAAAATAAAAAATAAAAATGAGATTTATACAAAAATTAAACCTTCATTGAAATTCAAGTATTTAAACTGATCAATTTGTTAATATCATGTTTAGTCTTCTACTATTATTTCAATGCCATTCTTTCAAAATTATCACATTTTGTTTTATGTTTTTCATTTTTAGTCTTTTATTTGCAGGTGAACTCAATCTCAACTATAATGACAAACATGAAGACTCCATTTTTCTATGACCAGTATTTAGTAACTCTGGCATCTAAATGGAGTTTTATAGAGTCAAAGTTAAATGCCTTGAGATGTATGAAAAATTAAAAGTTTGTCTTTATAGTTGATAATCAATTCATAAGATGTAAATAGAGGACAAAATTGAAATATATAAGACTAAATGTGATCATTTATAAAAATTAAAAGTTTAAGAGTGAATACACATAATTTAGTATACTAGTTAAGAATTTAAAATTAAATTCGTTGGAGCAGTGATTTAAAGAGCTAAGTTTAACATCTTATCATCAAAATGCGATGTTAATTGTTTTGCAAGTATAATAAAATAAAGTTGTTGGGCGACGACCTGAAAAGTAAACTCCAACATCATGCTATTGAAACGTGGCACTATGTAAGTATAAAGAAATAAAGTTGCACAATCAATTCGCTACTAGCTATAGCGTTTGGGGTGTAATGGTAAGCACTTAATCCTGACAATCGGCATCAAATTTGCTTGTTGTGTAGTTGATACTAACATGTGTTGGGAGGGATTAATTGTTGGGTATTGAGGGACGGCTTGGAGAGCTGAGATAACAATTGGTACCTTAATAGAATGCATGTTTGACAAATGTAGAATTGACATAATATAGTAAGCGTTTGATTTGACAATTGATATTATAATAAATTGTTCTCTTGACAACGTACTTGAAGGATATCTTCGTTACTAGCTATAACGCTAAATTTTATATTGATAGTGATTTTAGTTTCATATATACGTGTGTGCGTGAATTTCATTTTATACATAGAAGGGTTTGGCGCGTTATTATTGCTTTGGAAGTGAAAATCTCTAGAGTTTGTGTGGTGGATTAGGGATGTGGTATAGGACTAGTTTTGTATAACATTTTAACGAAAATATAATACTTTCTATGAATTAAAAAGTATTACATTTTCACTATTATTTTTCAATGAATAAGAAATATTATTTAGTTAAAAATACTTAAAATGTAATAATATTTGTTGACAGTTGACATATAAAAAAAATATTATATTTTTTACTAAAAATTATTACATATTTAAAATTTGTCTAGACAACCTCACACAAATTTTTATAAAGCATACATATTTTTTAAGATTTTATATTGTTTAAGGAAGTTTTACATATTTTAGCTAGGAATTAAATAAATACATATAACATTTTAATACTCATATAATCAAAAAGTTATGTGATATATTCTAAACCAAATAATTTCTAAGATTACTGCATTGAATAATGTGCTCTTATAAAATAAAAAATAAAAAAATTCTATTGTGATATTTTATTTGAATGTTCGACAAATACTTAGGTCATGTTTGGTAAAATAGTTAACTTTTTAATCAATTTTGACTTATTTGATCATTATTAATTGTTTAACTTAGTTAAAGAATTAATATAAGTGTTTGGTTAATTAATTACCTTTTTGTTACTCCAAAATGTTAAAATTTAAAAAGCTGTTCAAAGTAATTTTTTCAATTAGCTTTTTGAAAAAAAAAATTATACTAAACAGCTATCAGCTAACAGCTAATTTATCAAACACATTTCTACAATCAGCTAATGTTATCAACTAGTTATACTCTCTAATTAACGCAATAAGCTAACAACTAACAACCATTTACCAAACATGACCTATTTTACTAACAATATATATATATATATATATATATATATATATATATATATATATATATATAAAGATAAAATTTAAGAATTTGTATGTATGCCTACAAGCCAAAAATAAAATATTGTACTATAAACAAATGAATGCATAGTTTAAGGGAGTCAAGGAACAAGTAAAACCGTCTCAAACTTGTTAGATATTTAAAGGTTTAGCTTATTTGATAAGTTAACATTTTAGTGGCTTTGCTTGTCTTATTTGATATTGTCTTTCACTTACTCTGTCAAATAAATCGTCTAGCAATAAATTTATAAAATTTATACAATGTTTAATACAATCTATTTTTAAATATTTTAACGAGGTGTTTGGTAAATCGATGATTGGCTTAGTGTGTTTGACTAGTTGATAGCATTAAATAATTAATTGTAGAAAAATATTTGGTAGATTAGCTGTTAGCTGATAGTTGATTACATGCAAAATGACTTTTTCAAAATGCTGATCGAAAAAATTGCTTTAAGCGGCCTTTTGAATTTTAACATTTTGGAGCAATAAGTTATTACAAAAAGCTAATTAATCAAATATTCATATGACCTGTTTAACTAAGTCAAACAGTTAATAGTGGTCAAATAAGTCAAAATTAGCTGATAAGCTAAGTATGTTACCAAACATGCCAATGTTTACTTAAAAATATTATATATATATATATATATATATATATATATCACAATTTTATCATATACTTTGTACTTTATATATTATAAATACTATAATTTTATTAAAAACAAAGTGCAATTACAACACTGATATCAATTTTTAAAAATATTTTAAATTAATGAGGTGTAATTAATAATTTTGCTATTTGCACCACCTTAGTCAAACCTCATTTATGAGGTGTAATTAATAATTTTTTAATTCAAAATTTAATTAAGAGAAAATAGTACTTTTTTCCTCTAAGTTATATACTTATAGTACTTTTTACCCCCGAATAATTCATGTTAGCATATTGGCCCCCTCAATTATTCTAAAAGTGACGATTCTCCCCCCCCCCCCTCCCTCCCACCCCCAATATATTAAATTGACATTTCTACCCTTAAAGCAAACATTTTATTTTTTTTTTCTAACAAATTATTGCGTATACGTAGGGATGACCACGGTTCGGTTCTAACTGAACCAGACACTATAGCAATCGAGTTAAAAGTTTCCGGTTAGGAAAAATTGTACACTTTTCCCTCTGAGTTATATGATTATAACACTTTTTTCCTCTCAGTTATTTGTTTATCCACATTTGCTCCCTCAATTATATTAAAAGTGACAGGTTTTCTCTATTTTATGTTAGGTGAACATTTTTACCCTTAAAACTAAATATTTCATTTATTTTGTCTTCTCCAACAAATTATTGTTTATATGTACGGATGATTATGGTTCGCTTCGAACAATTTTTTTTATTGCCAATTCAAAATTTATTTTTTTATTTATTATAAATTCTATTTCTTATTTTTAAAATAATATAAATTCAATAATTATTTTATTTTATTTTATTTCATTTTTTTGGTTCTGAATCGTAAGTATAAGAAAATAAAGTTGTGTTATGCCTTCACAATTAGTTATATTTGTTCTATATTTTTTAAAACATTTTTAACCTAAGAATCTAAGCTCCACTCCCAAGGTTCGAACCTATGACCATTTATTTGAAATGGTAATTAAAATGTCATCATATTACATGATAGTTGGCTTAATCATATTATATATAATAATCATATAAAAACCAATTGCTGTTAAATCAAAGTAATTGTAGATTACTAGTATATATGTCCTCTAATGAAGGTGTGCATTCCTCAAAAAGAGAGAAATCAAATATAATCTTAGATATAAAATCACACTCCAAAATGCTATTGGAACATAATGGATTGTCAACTTCAATATGACTGCGAAAGTCTAAGAAATCAATACCTTTTCTCCCTTTTTAACTGGAATAAAGTTCGGAAGAGTAATATATAACACGTGTGATTGCAAATTAAAACAAACTCCCTTTGGCTTTGCTTACGATTCAGAACCGAAAAAACAAAATATAATAAAATAATTATTAAATTTATTTTTTTAAAAAAATAAGAAATAAAATTTATAATAAATAAATACATTTTGAACTGACAATAAAATTAAAAAAAAAAAATTGTTTGAACTAAACCGTGACCATCTGTACATATAAACAATAATTTGTTGAAGAAGAAAAAATAAATGAAATATTTAGTTTTAAGGGTAAAAACGTCTATCAACCATAAAAAGGAGAAAACATGCCACTTTTAATATAACTAGGAGGCAAATGTGGATACATGAATAATTATGAGGGAAAAAGTGTTAAAAGCATATATCTAAGGGGAAAAGGTGTCATTTATAATAAATATTTGTTAAAAAAATAATGTTTTGACTAAAATTAATGAAGGTGGTGCAAATAGTAATTTTTTATTTTACACTTCCTAAAAGTTATCACACCTATTAAATAGGTGGTGTAAATAGCAATTAGGGTGATGCAAATAGAATTCCCCTTTCAATTGTACATTTTTCATGATTTTTGCAGAGAAAAAAATCAAAAACAGATTTTTAACAAATGTTACAAATGGAAAGATGCGTTTTTGGGAAGGATTTTTTTTTTCTACAAATTAATTTTTTTTTTTGTCTGTGGACCCGTCTTTTGAATAAATTAACACACAATCCACAGATTCAGGAAAAATCTGCGCCCAGCATGGCGTGTGCAATGAATCATGGGTAGAACTACTTCATTAATTGGCTTTTTGACCATTTTAAAGTTAGATATAAACTTGATATGATAATCTCCATCAAAGTTATCACTTTGAGTTCTCTTTTCAATGGTGCAAGAATAACTCAATTTGGACATTCATACGTCTAGATCTGATAGAAATACTGAGCGGTGATTATGTTGTGTGATAATTCCAACCCGCTCTTTACTCTTTTGCTCCAATTTTGACTTGGTTTTGCCAATATGATTAAACCCATTGAAAACACCACCATTTGACTCTCGACAAATTATTACGTGTATCATGGTTTACACAATGCTGTGTGGAGCATAAAAAAAATACATTATTTGGTTATTGAATGTACATTATACAAAATAATGTACTTTCAGTACTAAAATAATGTAATTTATGTACATAAATAATGTACTTTTTATTTATGGTCCATATAGATGTGTGAATCATGGTCCACATAATAACGATTGTTGACTCTCCAAAATTCATTCAATTCATTTCAATCATCAAGAATTACACCTAAACACACAAATGAATCAAATAATGAACACTTTGAGCAAGATTAATAGATTATAACTAATAGCAAGCAAAAGAAGCTTAGATGCATGCAAGGTAAAAATATAAATAATTAGGCACTTATTACTATGGCAGGTTTATAAAGTTACCACTGAATGTTCATCACAAAATTAAACTGAAAAATATATCAATATAGGTGTTATTTAAAAGCTATCAACGAGATATTTTTATATATTAATCTTATATTTATATAAAAAGAAATAGATAATAATATATTTAAGTAATGATTGATCAATTGATACAATTTTTATCAACAGACAATATTAATTTTATAAACATACAATACGGAGTATTATTTTTATAAATATCGGTTCATAATAAACCATGGTTCATGATATAATTTGCCAATAGCATACAACAATTATACTGTGCACTATGGTCCAAAATGACAGACACTATAGTGTATCTAAACTGGCACTGTCTCACGTATTATTTTTTATTATATTATCAAATGAAACTGCAATTGAATTGAAATGAAAATGTAATTGTGTTAAAATGAAACTGCAGTGTATACAAAATGAAACTGAATAACAATTTCACATATTTGAGTGTATATTGTCCAGCGAAACTGTAGTTATATCAAAATGATACTGTAGTTGTGATTGAAATGAAATTGCAGTGTATATTTAATGTCTGGAACACAATACATGATGGATCACGGTCCATAACAAAGAATATGCCTGCCTTTCACCCACCGCAAATTATGCCATGGAATCCTGTTCACCGAGAATGGTGAACACAAGGCAAAACGACGTCGTTTTTAGGCCCAAAAAAAAAAATCGCGGATGTGGAGTTAACGGCGCGCGTTTGATCAAATTATGAATTTTCTGTTATGAGATTATGAATTTTATTATGAATTTTATGAAAATTCATAATCTCATAACAGAAAATTCATAATCGCATAACAGAAAATTCATAATCTCACAACTGAAAATTCATAATCTCATAACAGAAAATTCATAATCTTATAACAGACAATTCATAATCTCATGGTTCCAAAGTGAATGTGTAGGCATGATTCCAAAGTGAATGTGCAGGCATGGATTCATAATTTATGAATGTCCGTGATTTCGGACGGGAATATGTAGGCATTGTTCCAAAGTGAATGTGCAGGCATGAATTCATAATTTATGAATGTCCGAAATTATGAATGTAATGAAAATTCATAATCTCATAACAGAAAATTCATAATCGCATAACAGAAAATTCATAATCTCATAACTGAAAATTTATAATCTCATAACAGAAAATTCAGAATCTTATAACAGAAAATTCATAATCTCATGGTTCCAAAGTGAATGTGTAGGCATGGTTCCAAAGTGAATGTGCAGGCATGGATTCATAATTTATGAATGTCCGTGATTTCAGACGGGAATGTGTAGGCATGGTTCCAAAGTGAATGTGCAGGCATGAATTCATAATTTATGAATGTCCGAAATCTTTGTTCACCTCAAATTAAAGTGAAACCGCAAAATGTAAAAATAAAGAAGAAAAGTCACGCAATTAATTAAGAAAAAAAAAAAAAAAGATAACGGTGCACTATTGGGCTGCAAAGCTCGCTCCATCTAAGTTTTACTTGGGAAATGGATGAGAGTCGGACAAATTATATGGAGTACTATATAGATTATTTTATATATTGCAAGATAAATTGCTCATAAATATTTATTTTTAAAATATTGAATATTTGATTTTAATGTATTAAAAGTTTATTTTTAAATACTATTTTAAAAATAAAATATTATTACACTAAAAATGAACTTAAAAAATAATAATTTTAATACAGTAAAAATAAATTATCTGCATTCTAAAAAATGAATTTTTATGTTAGTGGTTGTAGACATGGATGTCAATTGGACTAGCCCACTGAGCTTTGGATTAGTCCTGCCGGGTTGTTAGGGTTACCGGATTGAGCTAAATGGTCTTTTTTTTTTTTTGGTTGGGTTGGTCCTAACCCTAAATTGCGGATTGTTGGGCTAATTTAATAGGCTAAATCACTAAATAAAAAATGAAAAATAAGAGCGGGTATTCACATTCTATGGAGCGGGATGAGTTTTGAAAAAAATCTACTTACCACGTCGACAAGTTGGAACGGAATAATGTTGATAAAATTATGACTAATGTACATATATGTGTGTGTGTGTGTGGACATAATCCAATGATTTAGCCTGACAATCCGACTCAATTCGATAATACTAGACACACACATATATATAGACACAATCTAATGGTTTATCCCGACAGTCCGTTGGGTTAGTCTGACCAATCCGATAATCTTATAGGACCAACCCAATTAGCTCGATTTTTATTGGGTTGATTTTTTTTTATTTTTTATTTTGTCCTAGTCCCTATAATTTTCAAGATTTATTGGGCTAGCCTATTGGTTTAGGGATAAGATTGAGATAATGGTCAAAGGAGTTGTATAATTGAAATTCTGATGGTAACTATCCATTTTTTGCCCTTCATATTAAGAATTGAAATTCAGATTGTGATGAAAAAAACTCTTGGGCAATAAGAATGTTATTTGGCGTACAAAGTTGATCCACCTGCTTACCAAATGCTATAAGTTAAATAATCTCATTTCCAACGAACTAAACTTTACGTGCATCATTGCTCGTTTTGGTTGTATAAATAGAAGAGTTTGAGACGGATATTCATATTGCATGCGCGTTTGCTTCATATAAGTATAGATGAATTGAACTCTTCGGGTTACTCGCCTACTAGTGCTGCATACTATAAAAAATTTGACTTGAATTGATCTTGTTGGTATTCAATTCTCTCATTGTTGTTTCCTTGGCCTGCTTATTCGGGTAATCTAATTCTTCCTCTTCAATCGCTTTCTCTACATTTAATACTTTTAGGAGCTGATTGTGAATTATGAATTTATGATGCTACTATTTTATTGATTTTGTCCCGAGGGCTGGACTTGTTTCAACCTCAAACTGTTTGTGATATCTTCCCTAAGAAGGAGATTTGATCGAGTGTTGAGAAAATGTTATGTTATTTGCAAGCTCTTAATCTGCAAGGAAATGTTATGTAATTGCAATCAACTGACATTGTGTTCTTTCAATCTTTTGTGTTTCAGCATTTAACATGGGTACCCAGCTAAGAACAAGTTTGATGGCACTTCTCTTGTTTCTTCTCTTGTCACCTACAGTATTTTCAGTATCTAATGATGGATTAATCAGAATTGGACTTAAGAAGAGGAAATTAGATCGAATCAACCACCTCGCTGAAAGCATTGGCTCTAAGGAAGGACGTTATGCAAGAAACTATCGAGGGGATCCAAGTGCAGATATCATTGCTCTGAAGAACTACATGAATGCTCAGTATTTTGGTGATATTGGTATTGGGTCACCACCTCAAAAGTTCACTGTGGTTTTTGACACTGGTAGTTCTAATCTTTGGGTGCCCTCTGCCAAGTGCTATTTATCAGTGAGATACTCTATAAACATTCTTGTATTTTGCATTACTATGCTATCAATCCACTCTCATGTTTGTTTTTGATGGATGTAGATTGCTTGCTATTTCCATTCAAAGTATAAATCAACGAATTCAAATTCTTACAAAAAGAATGGTAAGAGAATCTGAATTTTACATGTATTCCTATCAGTTTCCCTTTCTTGAGGACTTTTAATTTGTTGAATTGATTATTGATGTAGGGACATCTGCTGCCATTAAGTATGGGACTGGATCTATTTCTGGTTTCTTTAGTCAAGATTCCATCAATCTGGGTGGACTGATTGTCAAAGATCAGGTAAGATTTTAAAAGAAAGCATTTTGGAGTAGTCCCCTCTTAATCTTTCTTTTCTTCAGGATTTTATTGAGGCAACTAAGGAACCAGGCATCACTTTCGTGGCTGCTATGTTTGATGGTATTCTTGGACTTGGATTTGAAGAGATTTCCGTAGGGGGTGCTATTCCTGTCTGGTATGTATATGCATCTATGTTCTGATGCTTTTTTGGTGAGTCATTGGTCGTTCAATTATTCCTATTCTCAGTTACAGATTCATCATAAGTTTTCTATCACTGGTGTGCCTTTCATATAGTTTTTTTCTGATTGGTGTGATCTTCTAAATACTCAGCTTTGAATTTCTAAGAAATTTTAATTCTTCATAGGTACAATATGGTGAATCAAGGCCTTGTTAAAGAACCAGTGTTCTCATTCTGGATGAATCGGAATGTCCAAGATGAAGAAGGGGGTGAAATTGTTTTTGGAGGAGTTGATGCTCATCATTTTAAGGGTGCACATACATATGTTCCTGTGACTCAAAAGGGCTATTGGCAGGTATATTTTCCGGATATTCCTCATCACCTAATTTACATATACTACAATACTTTTTTTTTTTTTTTTTTTTTAGCTTTTTTAATTTGCTTTTGTCATTCTCAGTTTGACATGGGAGATGTACTTATTGACAGTAAAACAACAGGTAGTTTCTAAACTTTTTTTGGCCTTGCCTAAGAATATTAGCTAGGGTAGCGTGAAATGTTTATTGGTCTTTTAGTTGTTACATTAAATGAAGCTAATGTTGCTTTGTTATCAGGATATTGTGTTCATGGTTGTTCAGCCATTGCAGACTCTGGAACATCTTTGTTGGCTGGACCAACGGTACGTGTGTATCTCTTTTGATATATGTTTCTATGTAACTGCAAAGAATCATGACACGACTATCACTTCCTTTCAGGCTGTAATAGCTCAAATCAATCATGAAATTGGAGCTTCAGGGGTTATAAGTCAGGAGTGCAAATCAGTAGTTTCCAACTATGGAAAAGCTATGCTAGATATGCTGTTAACTCAGGTATAATATTCCAATTATCTCCAATTTTAATTTGTAAAGGGATACGCTACTACATACCAATCTCGTGTTAAGCTCCTTATAACTTTTTGATTTAGATTCTATGATACTATTCTGCAGGTGGCACCCAAACTGATATGCTCTGAAATTGGTTTGTGTGCACCTGATAGTACTTGGGATGCGAGGTGAGCTTCAAGTTTGTTTACATGATAGTTTGTGACGATGAGTTAGTGAAATGAAGTTTCTGGGCTTAATACAAATCAAGAAATGTGAATATGCAGTATGATGATTGAGAGTGTGGTGGATAAAAACAATGAAGCTTCTAGCGGTTTGCATGGTGATATGTGTCATCTCTGTCGAATGGCAGTTGTATGGATGGAAAGCAAACTCAAACAAAACCAGACTGAAGAGAAAATATTGGACTACATTGATGAGCTCTGTGATCGCCTACCCACTCCAATGGGAGAATCTTCTATCGACTGCAGCAACCTTGCTTCCATGCCTAGTATTTCATTTACCATCGCTGGTAAATCGTTTGAACTAACACCGGATGAGGTAACCTTCATTCTCTACATTACCTAAACTCTAGATCCTTGTTTAATCCAATGTTTTCATATGGTCATGACTCATGATATGAGGTTTATTTTGGCACAATCGACCTAATTTACTTCCTGGTGGTGTCTACTGATCAGTATGTCCTTCAAGTTGGCAAGGGAGCTGTAACACAATGCATTAGCGGGTTTATAGCGCTAGATGTGCCACCACCCCGTGGACCCCTGTGGTATGCTTTCTCTACCTTCGAACTTCTTTCACTTTTAACTTCAATTATGCCAAAGATGCGCTGCAATTCCAGCAGGTAGTACGAATTATCACAATATAAACATTCGTAGTCGAGCTTTCTAGATCCCCGATTAAGATCTCTCTCTCGCTCTCTCTGCTTTTACGAGATCAATTTACTTGTATTGTGCAGGATCTTGGGAGACGTTTTCATGGGTAGGTACCACACTGTGTTTGACTATGGAAATATGAGGGTTGGATTTGCTGAAGCAGTGTAAATCAATGTCTGCAAATTTACTGCCATTGCGAAACCTTTGATGCTTGATTTCTATGGTACCATGCCGATGGTGAAACTCTGCTGTGTCTTTCAGTGACTTGAAATGGACTACTGTGCATAATAAAAACTGATACTCCATACTATGTAAGATATAAACAATGTCTTATTTATATTTAAATTAAAGGGCTAAAGTTTTTATAGTGTATTTTTTTTTTCGAATATGCTACTTTCTCCGACTATTTCCTTCAAATTAAACACACTTTACAACATATGTTAACAAATTTATAAACATTTTTCAATATTTCAAGTTAATCATGATTCAAAGTTTATGAGTGTTATAGAGCTTATGAATTTAAAATGTAATGTTGCAAGTAAAACACCATACTTGAGGTTTCATTATTATTTATATAACTTGAAATTGAATCATTATTACAATTCGAAAAGAGTAGTTGTGTTATCTTAATTAGAGGAGATAATCAATATTTTGTTGCAAATAGATATTTAAAAGAAAAACCAAAGCAATATATTTTGGTGCAATTTTAACTGTATTTGAAAAAGAAAAGACTAAACATCATTTGACAAGACACAAAAAAACAATTGAACTAATTCATTGAGAGTCATGAAAGTTAAAAATTAATTTGCAATTTTTTTTAAAGAGCTTGGAACCAATGATTATCTAACAATACCTAATAGTATAAAATCATTTTGATATTGTTGCTTATGACACATGACCCTCTAACGGTTTAACCACCTAAAGCTGTCTCACCTATCCCAAAATTAACGCAAAATAAATAGAAAACTCCAGTTTAACGTTTATATTGTGTGTGTTTGAAAAATGGCGGATAGCTAGTTGGGTTTGCTGGTTTGATCAATTAATAGTACTAATTTCATGGAGGGGTGTGGTTTATTAATTGGGTTAGCTGATTTGACCAGTTGATAGTATTAGTTTCATGGAGGGGTGTAGTTTATTAACTGCTTGTATGTAAAATTACCTATAAGGACATAAATATATTGTGCTAATTTATTAACTCTTAAATAATAGTAATAATAATAATAATTATTATTATTATTATTATTATTATAATTATTATTATTATTATTATTATTATTATTATTATTATTATTATTAGAGAAATAAAAAAAGAAAGAAATGTACATTATTATCGTTGTTAGGGAAACAAAAAAAAGAAAAAGAAAAAGAGGCTAATGAACAACAAAAAAAGATATATAAATGTTAAGAATGACAATGATAACATGATCATTTCATAATTAAGGTCAATCAGCTAATTAAAAAACTCGTCTTAGCTTTTCAGATGTTGGCTAATTGTCCTAATAAGCTAATGTAATAAGTCAATTTACTACACTTAAATAACCTATTGACTAGTCAAATCAGCAAAAACTTATTTATCAGCTATGTTACTAAAAAGATATTGGCCCTGTTTGGTTGGCTATTAGCCAATAGCGGATTGGGTTAGACGGTATGACTAGTTGATAACATTAGCTGATTGTAGAAAGATGTTTGGTAAATTAACTGATAGTTGTTTGGTATAATAGATAATTGAAAAAAGTTGCTTTGAACAACTTTTTGAATTTTAGCATTTTAAAGTTACAAAAAGCTTATTAATCAAACACTTATATTGAATTTTTAACAATGTCAAACATATAATAATAGTGGTAAATAAGTTAAAATTAACTAATAAATTAACTATTTTAAAGTTCTCAAAAAACTTAAAAAATGGATCAACTTTTTTTGACACGTTTAGTTATTAATTTATGCATCGCACGTGCATGTCATAGTATAAAACTGATAACTTTGCTTGCGATATGAGGGGCTCCAACTAAAGGCTTCCCCGGCCCGCCCGACAAGTTTTGCATTGAATTGGACATTGTACCATACTCTTTTGTATTTTTTGTTTTGTTTTAATAATGTAGAAGTAGAACAAACTAGATATATATTATTTAGCAAGATGTGATCATTTTTCAATGATAAAATTATAAGCTTTACCGTCAGCAATTGGACCATTCTTTTTAAGCTTTTCAATAGAATTCGACAAAGGCGAAAATTTTGGGTTATCAATTTTTTTTTTTAAAATAAAATAAATCAAATATATAGATCAAACAAAATTCTCTTTGTAAATGGGAATCAAATATATGTAATTAATTCTCTTTGTATTTGGTACATCAATTGCAGGGATGATTAATGTAGAAGTTAGTTGGGTGTGTGCATAATCTATGTTGTTACGAGTATTTGTTTCTTAGCTCAACACTCAACAATAAGTCATCATATATAAATAACTCTTAAAATAAGCTAGCAGCAGCTTTCACCTAACAGCTGAAAAATTGGGTGTTAGATTGCAATTTGGTACCCCTAATCACTTGTAAAACAAGAAAAGGATTGCATTGAAGTGACGGAAACCTTTGAACGTAACAGAAATAAAATCATGTCGGCGGCTATTGTGTTGCGTACGTTATGCTCTATTCTTATTCCTAATTGCTTCAATATTTCATTTTGATTGATTTTAATTGCCTTCACTCAATACAATTAAGTAGTATAGAAACAGTACAGTAAAAGGAATGGATGTAAATAAATGATTCCAACAATTTTTACGTGAAAATTACGGTTTAATTTTCAACAGATTAAACAATGAAAGCACGGTGTTTGAATGCTCCGTGGCTATAGAGTATAGAGTCTTGTAAGGTTTGACACATGGAGAAAATTTTTTCACCCAAGAGTCTCTATATGTCCCTCAGAGGTAAATTACAGTGACTCGGTAACCTTTAAGTGAAAGGATCAATGCCTAATGTTTATCAGAAGCTCATTACAATGAGAGTAACGTTTACATTGCAATTGCTAATTCTCAAAAATGTCTTTGCCCACAATCTAATATTGAGAACAAATTGAATTGTTCGCGAAGATCTTTACATAACCTTCTTAATTTATCAATCGGTAGATGAGCTTATGAATATGCTTATGTTCGTATCAATTGACCAACATATGGAGTGATATTATCTCAACAATTATGATAAATTCATCAACATCCTAACAAGGGTTTAGTCAAGCATAACCCAGTTGACATGAAGCATTACAATGAATAGAAATCAAATCCTATACTAGAATAATAATAATCAAAAGTAGGAAGATCTAAATGATCAAAACCAACCGATTCGTTTGTTCAACCCACCCCATCTCCTTCTTAAAACTTAATTTATTTATTCTTCAAAGTCATCGCATCCATACAAATTCCAGATTCTCCGATCCAAACTACCATATCCAATTCCTTGTACTTTTTCCCACCAACCCAAATATACTTCAAAATTAGTTTTTTGTTATTTTTTAAAAATTTTATAAAGCATATGATATCCTCACCACTGTATCCCCAATCTTGTAGTTACATTAACAATCTGCCTATCAACTACTCTAAATTACTAAAATTTCCAAATTCATATTTTTTAAATATTGTTAATTACTTCATCTATTTACGTTTTTTTTTTTTTTTTTAATTAGTTAAGAAGTTTTGTTTCTTTCTAAAATAAATTAAAACTTGTTATCGGAGTTCTATGAAAGTACACTGGGCATTTTTTATTCCAAATTTTGCCACGTTGTAAATTTTGTAGTGGGTCAGTGTCAGAGTGAGTGGGGGAAAAGGGCACACTATATAAAGATTCAGAGTGAGGGAACATCTTATTCATACCAACACAAAAGAATCAAAATTGAATCTTTCGTGGTGAAAGATGAAGTGGATTAGAGGCAAGACCATAGGCTGTGGCTCCTCGGCCACCGTGTCAATCGCCACTTCTTGGAATTCCGGCGAGACATTTGCCGTTAAGTCCGCCGAGTTATCCAAGTCGGAGTTCTTGCAAAGAGAGCAGCAAATTCTCTCCAGTTTGAGGTGTCCGCAGATAGTAGAATACAAGGGGTGTGATATTACGATGGAGGAGAACAAGCTCATGTTTAACCTCCTGCTTGAGCACATGCCGGCCGGCACGCTTGCCGAGCACGGCGGCCGGATCGGCGAAGCAAGAATGGGTGAATATGCTGGGCAAATCGCACAGGGGCTAGATTACTTGCATTCAGTTGGTGTAGTGCATTGCGACATTAAGGGCAGGAACATTTTGGTAGGGAATAGTGGCGTCAAAATTGCTGATCTCGGTTGCTCCAAGCGGCTGAATCCGGCAGGACGTGGTTCCGCCGCCGCGTCAATCGGTGGCGGAACGCCGATGTTCATGGCGCCGGAGGTGGCGCAGGGGAAAGAGCAGGGTTTTGCGGCGGATATATGGGCACTAGGATGTACCGTCATCGAAATGGCCACCGGTGGGTCATCGCCGTGGCCTAATTTCACCGGCGGTCCGGCTGCATTGCTTTATCACATCGCATTTTCCGGTGAATCGCCGCCGGTTCCGGATTTTCTGTCCGACAAAGCCAAGGATTTCTTAGAAAAATGCTTAAGACGAGACCCCGGAGAACGATGGACTGCGAAACAGCTTCTCAAACACCCATTTCTCCAGGAAATTAATTCTTTGGCTTTGCCAAAACAAGAATCGATCATAATTTCCCCAACAAGTGTTCTTGATCAATGCATTTGGAATTCATCAATGGAGGAATCACAAAGCACTTGTGAACATGCCCAAACATTTACTACTTCATCATCGGATTCTCCGAAGCAGAGGGTAAGACAATTGTGCTGGAATTCAAGAAGACCGAACTGGGAACATGATGATGAAGCTTCTTGGATCAGTGTGAGAAGCAGGGGAGAGGATGACACGGCAGGTCTTCATTGTCACCAAGAAAATGGGGTTTTTGGTGCAGACACGAACTCGGTAGTGAATTTCTTAGATTATTATAAGAGTAGTAGCAGTAGCTATGTCCCCTTAGCTTCATCGGTTGTACAACAAAACATTGTCAATTCTACTTTGAAACACATGAAACAGAGAGTAAATCAATCGCATTTATTCTATATCTGGTTGTGACTTATTTCCATTTTTACTATCCCCCTATTGCTTCAACAGTTCAACCTTTTATATTTAGTTTAATCTTTTAAAATTGTCCCATTTAATTTTTCATTTTTAATCCTTTTTTTTTTTTTTTTGTGACTAAGGATGTCTAACTGGGTAAGTTCAACTCAGGTATAATAATTCACAAACTACACAACAAAGTAAATTCACTAGAAAAATCTTGTGTCGGTTATGTCACGGATTCATAGCGTGAACTCACTGTCAATTATAAACATACAGTAATTGAAGTGACAATTTGAAACGTTGAAGTGATACCATGTATACGCATTATGCAATACATATGGATCATTAATTCAACGATTGAATCGAAATTGGTGTAAAGAGCAGACTGAATTGTATTATTTATGATTGACAGAAGTAATATATAGTGCTTTACAGAGGAAGTTACAATAGTGTATAACTAAAGGTTAAAAAAAAAAGTAATTAACAAATCAAGAAAATTAAGCAGAATAGTTCAGGGTATATGTTTAAGACTTGGGATATGCATATTATGAGTCGAAGATCAGAGCCTCAACTTCATTCTTCCCAATAATTTGGACTGAGTTTCATTGGCTCAAGGGACCTTCTTCATCTTTCTTCATCTAATTATACACCGTACCAGAATAATTAAGAAACAATACTGCTATGGTCGCCGTCGTGGTCGTCGGCGGCGGGAAGAAGCAAAGTGGTATTGAGTGCAGTGCAGAGCAAAAGAAGAAGCAAAACCAGTACAGAGAGCCCAGATAGAATGAGCATTAGGATGTGGGCTTCTGTGCTCTTCACTGCCTGTGCGTACTCCGTCGACGCCATCGCCATCGCCGTCAAAGGAAAAGAATACGCCCACCATGCCACGTTGAATTTCTTCATTGATTTCTTGAATAACGCCGGCCGACACACCTGCACGCATCAATCATGTCAAACTAACGACAAACAAACTAGTTTTAAAAAGCAATTACGTACGGTACTTGAATACTTTACTGTCTGGAAAAAAAAAAGATTTAATTTGCTTATTAGCTGTAAAGCAAAAGAGTATATATAAAATTATATTTTATATATAGTCGCTTTACAGTCATTAGTTTCTAATTACTGAGCTGTAATTGCGTCTACAACTCAATTAAACATAATTAGTTCATTACGGAAATTAAAGAAGGTAGTTTCCAGAATTCATTAGAAGTTTGGCATTTTTAGTTACAAACCATCTTTCTGGGTCAAGATTGTAGGAGCTCTTGATTGATGATCGTATTCACAGTAGGTAAAGAAGCATAATATATACAGTACAGAACCCGAAGAAACAAAAAATCAGTTGCAACAACTTATACAAAACTAAGCCAACCAAAATATTACGCCAAATTAAAACTGAGCAAGAACTAAGTCCCAATTAAGATCAAGTTTATTTTTATGACTATTTTCATTTTATTTTTCTACTTTTTATAGACCGTAAGAAAAAAAAAAAAAAAAAAAAAGTCTTAGGTAACCTAATTCGATGTGATACTTACCAATTATTTAATCAAAACTCTTCAATTCCCTAATATGAACTTATATATAGACCGTAGTCAATTGATGAACGGTTCAGATTATGCGAATGAGGGGACGATAATGGTCTTTTTTACAAAGAAAATGACATATATTCAGGACTGCACAAGTACATGAAAAGGATCTTACAAAAAGCCAATTTGAATTCCAACACTTTATGGATCGGTCTTTTATGTTGTCACATCAATGGATTTTAAGCTGCGGTGACAGCTACAATAAGCTAATTTTCCATGTCGAGACAATTATTTAATCAAGAAATATGTATGCTATAGTGGCATAATGCTGTATAGATAATGATAACTCATTTGACTATATATGATCTGTTGAGTTACTTGAGATTGATGATTCAATTTTTTTTTTTTAGTTAGTCAGTTATAAATTATGATCAGTTTAAGTTGGTAATTTTCTTGTAATTCAAATAATAATACGAAGTAATTAAAAAAAAATACTTGTGCGGTATACGTACGTACCAAGGAAATGAAGAGAAACAGGGAGAGATAAAATAGCATCTTTGACGAGTTGTCGAAGTTTCCAGAGATGGAGTCCCATGCCAAGCTTGCCATGCTCGGAGCAGCAAAGAAGAGAAAGAAAACCGGCCGTAGGATCGCCGGAATCGAGCCACTTCCAGGCAACCGCTGATACAGGGTGACGAAGAGGACGAAATAATGCGCCATGCCCAGTGAAAACATGCAAATGGCGCTCTCTTTCCACCCCATCTGAGCGGCGGCCCTAGCGCAGACCAAGTTTCCGATCACCGACATCTGGCTCGTCGGGTTGGCGATCCCGGAGAGGTACCGCTTCCCTTTGGTGAACCACTGGCCGTAAATCTTGACATCGAGAGCCACGATGGGGACCACGAACACCCACCAAAGAACCAGGTAATACGCCGTCGTCGTTTTGGGTTTGAAGAACGGCGTGGCTTGCAGCAAGAGGAGCCACGAAATCCACGGCGCGAACAGGTAGTTGACGCCGACGTGGTGCAAGAACTCATTCTTAACCATGTCGAACCGGAGGAAACATCGGACGACGTAGATCAAAGACAGCGAGACCAGCGTGAAGAGCGCAAAACACCATAGGAGAAAGAAAGCGGTGGAAGGCAACCTGTGCAGCATTTTTCTTAAAGAGTGAATGTCGCCGGCGCCGCCGTCTGACGGCGGCTCGCTTAGCGTTTTCCATAGTAACGCCTGGCTGCACAGAGAGAGGCTTATCCGAAAATACCCAGCATGCAAATTCATCAAGATTGGCAAAATTAGGGCCTTGGCTTTGATAAGAACTCCGGTTTTATTTTGTGGGGAGGAGCCAGTAAACTCAATAGTACTTGTGACATTCACGACAACCTCAGCCTGGGGTTGAGATTCTTGGTTAACGTTTGCCATTGCAGGCAGCATTTAGTACTGTATGTACGTGATCTTTAGGGTTTAATTTGGGTTTGGTTGTTTCATTGCATATGGATTGGGAACATATATATAGGCTTATGCAGGAAAGAGGATGTACTGGCCTGGCCCACCCCTCGCCATATGTGTCTCAACTATTTATAGATTTTTCAAATTACAGTGTTTGCACACTTTTTTGAGTACTACTGACTGTGTTACAATGCAATATCTGTTCATATATAAGTACTTTCTCAACTTATTGACGCACAAAGAGTCAATATCACCCCCACTGAGGCGAACTCACAACCTAGGTCCTTGGCAGTGTTTGCACACTTTAATATGCTTTCTACAATAGAGATCCATACTTTCTCATTGATAGAGGTCGAACTCTGCATCTGCGGTTACTAATGAAGCAAAATTATTAATTTTTTTGGAGTGATTAACCAGTTAAACTGTGTTGCGGGACCGCAGCAGGAGGAATATAATTATGCAAGGAATTGACTGAGAGTACGGTATGAAAAAGACAGGATTGTTCTTGGAAGTTTACGTGGGAACGGAAACTGCTGACTGCCGCATGGGCTAGCTTTAGGCTTGCCAATTTGGACTGCTTGTCGTGGATTATGCGGCTGAGTTGTGTTGAGTTCTTTACAGCTGGGATTTTGCAAATTGCAAAATGCATGGGACCTCAATGCCACTCATATAATGTCTACAAAAACCTTTTAAACGAATCTCACTCGATAGATCTTCATCAGGTTCAACGCATGCAAATCTCTCCGATCCTCTCATGCAATTCAACCATGAATATCCAGGATTTTACGTTGGGTTTCCTAGGATTGCCAAAGCTTTAATTAGTTTGTCAAAGAAATACCAGTAAACCCTAAGAAAAAAAAAATTAAGAATATATTGATTACATGACATATTAAAAATCTTGTATTTTTCTATGATCCAATTAAGTCGAGGTATCCAGATAAATATGATGATTGAATTTTTCTACCATGTCATTTAATGTAAGAAACTTCTTGTTGGGAGGTGTTTACTCTCCCAGTCTTCTTCCTATTTTTTATAGTAAAATGATGAGAACTACGTACTGAACTAATATTATTCTTTCTTATTTGGTGTAAGACAAGGGGTGTGATGCACAAGGCACTATAAAAACTCTCTCACCCTCTGTTACTCCTTTCACCCCTAAATAGTTGTTTTGTTTATTATTATCGATACACATTTTAAGAATAGTGGGGGGAAAAGTACGTATTTTTCCTTTTCCGCTTATTATTATTATTTTTTTTTTAAAAGAAGAAGAAAACTCCTTTAACTTTTCAAATTTTATTTAAAAGGCAATATAAATTAATTATAGTGTGTATTTTAAAAATTATGGAGCAATAATATTTTGAAATATACAAAAATATGAAACAAATTAAGACGGATAAAAACTAGGTAGAAATTAAAAGTATGTGTAGTATATATTACTCTAGCGAGATGTCCAAAAAATTGTCACATCTTATAAATGTGACAACATTTATTACTTTATTACCTACAAAATGTTATACATTATTTAATATTATTATACTCAATATAAAAATGTTTCGCATTCTTGTGACAAAAGGTGTGTGGAATTGCCTACCCCAAGCGTCCCCACACCCCGGCTCTACAAAGATTGGTGAGACTCAATCGTTGGTCTCTTGTGACAAATTTCACCCGTGTAACCAGTTGAACTGTCCATGCGAGTATGTTTTGCATTCTTTGATTTATAGTTGCGCTATGTATGAAGTTCACATTGTGACCCTGACTGACAAAGGACGGGAGGTAAACCAACCAACTATCCAATTAACTCAGTTAGGGTTTTCGTCTTAATTTTCACTCTTTAATTCTTGAATTACTAATGGGTAAAAACATTTATAGTATTGGTTGTTGTAGTGGGTACTATCTACATGACTACATCGATATTAATAAGTATTGATACAAATTAAATACAATAACAGGTTATATTTGATATTACCGAAATAGTAATAGAAATTCATTAAATAATATATTCTTGATTCCTTGCGAATATGCTCCATCCATGTCGAAACGTAGCGGTGGGTGTAAGACAGTACGTAGAAGACTTAAGAGTTGGCGGCTCGATGAAGATGGTTTGTTTGACCCCGTCAAACGGGGATCATTTTATTACTGGCAATCAACTTGGTGTATGTAAAATTTCTCGAGTGCGGGATCGGATGTGATATTTTTATTGTATTTTAGTATATTTTCTGACTTTAACGATTGCATTTTAAAATATTTTTTAATGCTTTGAAATGGTGAAAGTTCAAAACTCAACAAAATTGATGAATAAGGAGTAGCACATGGCGAGACAGATACATCCTATATCAGATCAACAAACAGCGGTGGCCATCAGAAAATAATGATAACTGAAGGGTTGTTATGTTGCACGTATCAGTACCAGTCCTTATGGGGAAAAAAAAAAAAAAAAAAAAAGAACAATTCTAATTTTTCGTCGCCAAAAAATACTTGACTAAAAAGACGTCACTTCAATTTTCGAGAATCTATTTCTATCTGTCATGTGTTGAAGTCTTTGCAAACGGAGCAAAGTAAATAGCAGGATGCAGTTTAACGACTTATTACAAATTTTTTCAAAGTATTTATATATTGTGCTTACAATCAGGTGATGATTAGTGAAATAAAATTACTCCGTATTATTTTTATTGTTTAAATAGGTGAACTATATGGGTACCAGGACTATGTGATCTAATGGTACCCGGGTTGGACTTTCATTTGAAAGATTATGAGTTCGAGCCTCAGTGGAGGTGTTATGTAAGTTGAGAAAGTATATGAACAGATATTACAATGTAATAGAACCAGTAGTTTTCAAAAAAAAAAAGGTGAAGTATATGGGTTATGTCTGAAAGGTTAAAAAAAAAATGGTTGATTAGATCAGAGATGAAACTTCGTGTAAAATGTTAGGTTGCAGCCTAAACACATTCCTCAACCCTCACGTACCCAACATGCATCACATTATTCATCATCGGACAGTATAATCTAGAGACATATAGTATATGCTTGACTTGGAACGAAAGTCACGAAACTACGTGTAAAATGTTACGGAGTACGTTGCAGCCCAAACACATTTATATTCCTTGCCCAACATGCACGTTAATTTTCCACTTTGTACGCAGCCTATTATACTTAATAGTAATACTACTTATTAAAATCAAACACTTATCACTATACAAACGGTCACGTTATAACTAGTAATAAATACAAAATTTTTAGGGGTAACTGATATGAAATGCATGACCAAATTAAATTGAAGACGCTAACAATTAAGGAGTTGAATGAAGTGCTATAAATATTATTTTCGATCTATACTAGTTGTATTTTTAGTTTATTAAAGAACCAATGTAAACGTGTTATAATGACATATCCACAACTTGTATAACATATTAGAAAACAAGTGGGGAAATATCTAATTGGAATATGGTGCTGTTTAATTTGGATTTAATCAAAGTTGTTATCTTCCACATATATATAATAATTTCAAAGCTTAGTGCTTAAACAGTCGTTTTTAGTCAATTCTGGCGCCGCTTTCTTTTTCTTTAACAATGATCGAATTCAATTCCGGCGAGATTAATTGGCCTTCTTTTTTCAAGCAAATCTTATTTTAACTCTTACTCCGTATTTTTCTTGGTTGACCAAAGGTATCCTTTCAGCCGATAGGTCCTCCGTCCTTACTGTCAGCCCATTAGGTGGTAAGAGACTAACCAAATGGTTTGCTCCATTCACATGGGTGGGGATCAAACCTCAATCTCATGCGTAAGGGATAGGTGCTGAACCACCACGCCAACTATGTTGGTATACTTTAACTCTTGTATTTACTATAAAGAGTTAATTCCATTTTGGTCATAGATTTAATTCACTTTTAATTTAGTCCTTTATTTTCATATCATTCCTTGGTTCTAGTATTATTGTGATATGATCATTTTTTGTCTTCTACCAACAAAACAGTTAAAATGTCATTAAATACTAATCATTATATCGTGCACCAGGGTGCACAATGCATTGTGCACCCTGACCCAAACCATGTTTCGTATATATGTACATAATTGTATAGTAGAATACACATAAACTCCTAACATAATACACATAATCTAACATAATACATAATACACATAAATTCTTAACATAATACGCATAAACTCTTAACATAATACACATACAAAAAAAACTGTAACGGGATTAGATGGACGGAATGGTGTCCATCACATCAACTCTCCACCAACTTATAAAAACGACATCGTTTTGGACCAGGGCGCACAATGCATTGTGCGCCCTGGTGCACGGTATAATTTTCCATTAAATACAAAGACATTTCGGTCTTCAATTATGAATTTTTTTAAAAAATAAACATAAAAAATATAGCGGGTCAACCCACTTTTTTTTTTTAAAGATTGAAATACCCTTGTATTTAATGGCATTTAAACAATTTTGTTGACCGATGACAAAAAAAAATTGTCATGTCACAATAATATTAGGACCAAAAGATATTGTTTTGATAAAAAATGACTAAAAATAGACTTACATCTATAAATGTAGGATAAAAAATGGAATATTAATTAACTCATTTACTAATTAAATATCATTAATCTTAATTTATTGCTGAAATTAAACCTGTGAGATGTTGAGTTAGGAAGTGATACTTTACGAGTTATCTATAAGTTTAAGTCTAGTAGTGTGACTAGAGATCAGATTCTCATGCACACCTTCTAAAAGCTATTATGTTGGCTCCCCTAGCCACCTCCCTCTCTCAATCTTAAGATCATTGTTAGGATCAGATGTTTACCACTAGGTTAAAAGTTATAACTCGTAGTAAATGTGTAACTTTATTTGTTTATATCATATCGCCACATTTTTAAAAAATAGAATACTGAACTTGACTCTTCATCCACCTCGACGACCTAACAATCTTTTAGTCATCAATCACAGAACTTGCCCCTCAGATCACTGAACTCCGTACAACATTTTTGGTAATTAACCAGGCAAAAATGGGAGTACAAGAGATCCTCATGCAGATCGACTTCCTGGAAGCTATTCGATATTAAAGACATATTTACAAGTGAGATATTGGATGGCAAATTTACCATGACCAGGCCATGTGCAG